GCATGATATCTTACAATTAAATGCTGCTGCCAGACAGTAGTGTGTGGAAGGAACAGGAAACTGAAACAAGTTATGAAATGGCCATCAGAAATCTTTTATGTGAAAAAACCTGTTTCAAGTTTCATAGCCTGTGTCTGAGTCTCTAATGAAAGCCATAAATGAAGAGTTTTGTGGCTTCTTGGGTTAGAGGCTGAGAGATGAAGATACCTCCCCTGATCTGGATTCAAGGGTGTTTTGCTTCCTCTGGGTTCTCATTTGAGCTGAGAATGGAAATGGAGTCAGATCATCACTGAATGACATCCCCAGCCCATTTTCAATCACAGTTACTAAACTGCTGACATTTGTAGCAACATGGACATGCAACAGAGATTTTAAGTCTATGTTAATTGACTTGGAAGAATAGCTATGACAAACCTGGACAGTGTATTAAAAAGCAGAGACATCACTTTGCCAACAAAGGTCCACATAGTCACAGCTATGGTTTTTCCAGTAGTCATGTATGGATGTGAGAGTTGGACCATGAAGAAGGCTAAGCATTGAAGAACTGATGCTTTCGCACTATGGTGTTGGAGAAGACTCTTGAGAGTCCCTTGGACTGCAAGGAGCTCAAACCAGTCAATCCTAAAGGAAATCAGTCCTGAATATTCATTTGAAGGACTGATGCTAAAGCTGAAGCTCCAATACTTGAGCCACCTGATGCAAAGAGCTGACTCATTGCAAAAGACCGTAATGCTGGGGAAAATTGAGGGCAAGAGGAGAAGCGGGCAACAGAGGATGAGATGGTTGGATGCCATCACTGACTCAATGGACTTGAACTTGAGCAAACTCAGGGAGACAGTGATGGACAGAGAAGCTTGGTGTGCTCCAGTTCATGGGGTCACAAAGACTCGGGCACGATTTAGCAACTGAACAGCAAAATGTAAATTGACAACTCCTCCTCCAAACACACTGAATATTTAACTTTTACCAGTACTTGGCATTGTGGTGAGACCAGAAACCAACTGCCAAATTCTGAAACAATAACACTTCAGTAAAAATATTTTGATCGGAATAATTTTATATCAGTTTTGAGGTTTCCAAGCAACTGCTTCCTGTTTTATTTACAGTTAAATGTCCCTAATAATTTAAGAAGACCATCAAAATCCTAAAACTGCACTTCTCAGTAACTAGAAAGAGATTAGATTGTGCATTTTTGCATATTTTAAATAAAGGATAGAGGTTAGACCCATTCAGAACAGTTTAACACCCAAGTAAAAATACCTCTTAGAATATTTATTTTCTTTTTCTTCTTTATTGTGGTATAACTTATGATAGTACAGTACTCCGATCTTAAGGGCACAGCTAACAAAAACCCTTTAGCTAACATCATTACTAAGATGGGAGCAAGATACAGATGATTATTATGACTACAGCTAGCCAATATTGTGTTGAAGAGTGTAGCCAGTACTACAAGCTTTTGGATAGATTCTAACTTATTTTTAAATACTTCATCTTTTCATCTATCCACATTTGTCTCTATTTTCTTACTCAGTTCTTCTGAAGTACTTTTTTTTTTACTCACTCCAGTATGTAAATAACCTCCAGGTCAGCTTCTACTGATTCTTTGAACTTTCAGTTGAACAGTCACATCTTTTGTCTATTCTCAAATCAGCTAATTTCTTACTATATGCCAGACATTCTGGACAACACATTGCAGTTTCTGAATTACATTTTTCTTAAATATGTCTTTTAAAACATTTCTGGTTAATTTTTATAATCATGAAAGTAAAAGCATTACTCTGTCATAAGGTAGAATATTTAACTTATTTATTCTGAGCCAGTATCCTTGTTGTTTATCCTTTAGGCTGACAGTTTTCATCCAATCTATAGAATCAGTTGTTCAGAATAGCTTGGAGAAGAGTGCAAGAGGATTCTTAAACATATTTCATTTCTAAACCATTCTAAGTCATTGCAGACTCCAATATAATAGCTGCCTACTTATCATAAATGTATTCTATGCCTCTGAATCCTTTCAGGAAAAGAAGACAGTGACTGTCTCTTCTTCAGTGTGACACAAATGTGGTTTCCCACTGAGAAGTCATGAGATTTCATCTGAGGAAATGATTCTTTTTCATCCCCTGGGGCCATTTACATTATCTTTATGGTAATCGGAGAATTAAAGTCATAGTGTCCAGTTCTAGAGTCATAATCTTTACCTTTCCTGATATCCATGTGATTTTCTTTGAAAAATATAATGAAGCCTAAAGTTTTATGGTTCATGCTCTTTTCACTTTGCAATTCCCAACTCAGGTTTCCATGACAAAAATTCCATGGACAGAGGAGCCTGGAGGGCTACAGTCCAGAGGGTTGCAAAGAGTAAGACCTGACTGACAACTGGTTATGCACGTGCACACATCTTCTTCTCTGCAGATGTACCTGATTTCCCTAAAGCCATGTGCATCAGCATTTACTGATATAAATTATTAGAACTGTAGTCAATAGCACAAACTGATCCTGGTAGCAATCCCTTATTTGTAACTCCTTGATAGTACAAAGCGCAAGGAGGGAAAATAAAAGGTAAAATAGAGCATGCTTTATTGACTATGTCAGTCTTTGACTGTGTGGATCACAACAAACTGTGGAAAATTCTTCAAGAAATGGGAATATCAGACCACCTGACCTGCCTCCTGAGAAATCTATATGCAGGTCAAGCAGCAACAGTTAGAACTGGACATGGAACAACAGACTGGTTCCAAATTGGGAAAGGAGTATGTCAAGGCTGTATATTGTCACCGTGCTTATTTAACTTAAATGCAGAGTACATCATGAGAAACGCTGGACTTGATGAAGCACAAGCCGGAATCAAGACTGCTGGGAGAAATATCAATAACCTCAGATATGCAGATGAAACCACACTAAGGGCAGATAATGAAGAACTAAGGAACCTTTTGATGATAGTAGAAGAGGAGAGTGAAAAAGTTGGCTTAAAACTCAGCATTCAGAAAACTAAGATCATGGCATCTGGTCCCATCACTTCATGGCAAATAGATGGGGAAACAATGGAAACAGTGACAGACTTTATTTTGGGAGGCTCCAAAATCACTGCAAATGGTGACTGCAGCCATGAAATTAAAAGATGCTTGCTCTTTAAAAGAAAAGTTATGACCACCCTAGACAGCATATTAAAAGCAGAGACATTACTTTGCCAAAAAAGGTCCATCTAGTCAAAGCTATGGTTTTTCCAATAGTCATGTATGGATGTGAGAGTTGGATGATAAAGAAAACTAAGTGCCAAAGAATTGATGCTTTTGAACTGTGCGGTTGGAGAAGACTCTTCAGAGAGTCCCCTTGGACATCAAGGAGATCCAACCAGTCCATCCTAAAGGAAATCAGTCCTGAATATTCATTGGAAGGACTGATGCTAAAACTGAAACTCCAATACTTTGGCCACCTGATGCGAAGAACTGACATTTGAAAAGACCCTGATGCTGGGAAAGATTGAAGGCAGGAGGAGAAGGGGACGACAGAGGATGAGATGGTTGGGTGGCATCACCGATTCAATGAGAATGAGTTTGGGTAAGCCCCAGTAGTTGCTGATGGACAGGGAAGCCTGGTGTGCTGCAGTCCATGAGGTCACAACTGAGTGACTGAACTGAACTGAGAGCATGTTTACTTCCTGTACCTTTATTGCTAGTATAATATTTAATTCTACATTGATGTTTTGTCATGTGAACAAAACGTACATGAAAGGAAACAGGAAAAATCAAGGGTGCTTCATTAAAGCCACCATTTCCCTGTCATCTCACAACTTATGGCCCCAGCTTGATGGAACACAAAGACTAACAACAGAAACTGAAATTAATTTTTGTCCCTAAGCTGCTTCAGTCTATTTAAGGGGGGGAAAAAAATAGGTCCTCTAGTCTCTCCTACTATTTATCAATTAGAACTAATTTTATAAAAAAGACTAAAATTTAAATGCGACTTTAAAGAACTATAGGGTTTAATTATTGGTCTTGCTTGGTTTTCATGAATAGAGCATGTTTATTCTGTAGGTAAATCCTATTTTTGCACTTATTACCACAGGCTTGTGAATCACTAAAAGAAAACAAAAAGCCTAATTCCCACAGGTGATTGCTTTTATTATTAATATCACAGAATAGATTTTTAAATTTAGAACCACTGATATGGTCTGACTCGTTATTTGTGATTTATTAAATGCCAGCTTTGTGTCAAAAACATTATTTTTGTGATTAAATGCTTGTACAGAATCATTCACTAAAGAACTTAACCACCTCATGAGAGAGAATTCACAAAGACTTTCCAGGGAGGGGGTAATTTGGAACAATTACCAATACATTTCTATTTTCCATCTAAAGAGGAAAATCAAATTAAAGCTGGCTTGGCCCTTCTTAAGTCAGGTTGAAGCTGGCAGAGTAGGTAGATGAAAGTGAAATGAAAGTGTTAGTCGCTCAGTCCTGTCTGAGGCCTTGCGACCCCATGGACTATATAGCCTGTCAGACTCCTGTGTCCATGGGATTCTCCAGGCAAGAATGCTGAAGTGGGTTGCCATGCCCTCCTGCAGGGGGTCGTTCAAGTTTGGCTGTCTTATGTAACCCTAGAGCAGACTCAGGTCCTTTCCTCTTTGGGGTTAATCCACACCCACTGACAACCCCATCCTGAATTCTCTCTCTTAAGGATCCAGCAGAGACATGCTGTTTGTCCTACAGCAGAAGCCAGTCATTCCACCCAAGCAGGTGACCCCAGGGGAAGGGGGAGTGAGAAGAGAGTCAGGTATCTCTCTCTTCAAGACTCTCCAATCATCTTCACTTGTACGGAACACAGTAAGTTCACTCCAACTCTTTTTGTTAAGTTTCTGAATACTTAGAGCACTTCTGAATCTATTTTGATTGGTAACTTTTGCTTGTCTGGAGGTCAAGCATAAATTACTTTCACGAAGCCACAAAACCTTGCATCGTTCATTTGGTTGTTGTTGCTTTTTTTTTTTTCCTTTTCCCCCATAGAATCATTTTGATTCACAGTGAATTTTCACTATTTTTAAAGCCCGGCTTCGGGCCTGACGTCAGGATTCCTGACCTGCGTTCGTCTCCCGCGGTGCCAGAGCCCTTTTCATCCTCGCCCTCCTCCTCGCTCCCCCGACTCGCGGTGACTCACGCTGCCATCACGCAGCATCGCTCAACGCCCACGCGGACGCGGGGCCTTGCTCCGTCCCGCGCAGAGCTGCGTGCCTGTCTCCCGCCTCCTGGGAGCTTAGGATCTGCTCAAGCAATTTCAGAGGCCGTGCAGGGAGAGGAAGATAAAGCAGCCAAGCAACACTTCAGATAAATTACCCACCGAAAAGAAAACACTGTGAAATTACAGAAGGCGTCAGTGTTTGCGGTTGGGGAGTTAGGATGGCTGTGAGAGGAATATAGAAATGAGTATTCGCATCTTGGAAGGACACGGCGGGGGAGGACGAGGGCGGAAAAAAAGGACAGGTTTAGGCTTCCGGTTTCCAACTTCCTTCGCAGACTCTCCTCTTTTCCCAGTCCCCAGTTTGGGGCGGGGGTTGGGGTATAGCAGTTGAGGGTCATATTTCCAGTTGGATTTGTCTGCGTGGCTTTGTTTATCCTGCCTAGATTCTGCATCTGTTTTGAGGGAGTCAGATTTGTACTTATGCATATTGTATGCAATCATTCTAAAGGGATCTTCCTCCATTTGGGCCATTTAGTGTAAAAGGGAAGTCTGCTCACATTGTTTTACCTTGGAAAAACTGTCAGCTTCTGACCTCCATCTGAAAATGGGCTTGAGAGTCTGGGCTCAGTTCACTCATCCTAACAGTTCATCTCCACATTAGGACAGTTTCTGGAAAATGATACCAACTATTAGTTTTCTGTCCACCCCATAGGACACACAAAAAACCATTTTCTCCTTTTTATCTCACCCACTGTTAATGTTCTGTAAATGACCTGGGTGGACATTAAACAGCTATATGTGTATGTAAAATAATACATATGTAAAAACACTGAAAAGCACTTTACTCTTGGTAAGTTTATACCTCAACCAAAAATTAAGTAAAAGTACCCATTTTTTTTCCTCTCTGCACAGCAGCCATTTTCTTTCTCAATGTTAGTAATTCTATTGCCAAAATAATATTTTTCAAATAATTAAAAAAGAATTTTTAAAATCCACCAGTAATTCCTGACTGTAATAGAAATGTTTGTTTTTCAGTATCTGCTCTCATTTTGGACCTATAGTTGTGGCTGGGAAATAGATGTTATTTTGTATTCTGTTTTTGTTCCCTCTGTAATATTATATCAAATATTTTCCTGTCTTTCGTGACCCTCATGATTTTCCATTTTAATGGCTGCAAACTCTTCTGCTAAGTGATTACAACATCATTTGTTTATCCACTCCTCTTGTATTAGACATTTAGGTGACTCCAGATTATTCATTAAAACAAATTACCCTCCTGTAAACACATGCATGCATGCATACATCCTCCCAATGGATGGAATATTAAGTGAAGCCCCTGTTCTTCTCAGAGGATGCAAGAACAGAATGCAAATGTGAAATCCCCACCAAGGAGCCCTGAGTATGGTCTGCACCTCGAAGTCAGAACTGCTAATTAATTACAGTGTGGTCGTGTCTGTTGAGAACTGCAGCATGGGACAAAACAATCCCTGAACTCAGCTCCAGTTGGACACAGAATGGCCAATTGGGTATACTTGGTCCTCCCCAGTGTGGCCAGCACGAGTCAGCGCCCTGTAACTACTCAAGCCTGGCGGCTAAATGAATTAATACATTTATCTGACCTCACTATCCCAACAAGCTTATTGAGATAGGCATCATTACTCAACAAATAAGATAAGGAAACTGAGTCTCACTGACAGATGTACAAATTGTTACAACAACACAGGGCTTTTAGCTGATGCACAGGATTGCATCGCTCAGACCCTCAGAGGAAACTGAGCATCAGAGAGAAATTAAACAGTTTTCCCTGGATCACTCAGCCTTGAAGTATTAGAATCAGAAATCAGACCTAGAATTTCCAACTCAAAATTCTGCATTCTCTTCTGATACTATGCTTTTTCTCAGATGTGGGATCATGGAGTTAAAAGGTAGAAGCATTTTTATTATTCTATTTTTTTAATTATTCTAGTTTTAATATTGCAAATAATTCCTTTTATTTCTGTTCAAAAGTATCACCTGTAACATATACAGTTATCAGTATACTAGCAATAGGTATTATCTTTTTAAATATTTTTGCTAATATAAGCTGTTTAAATAGCACCTATTGTACATTATTTAACATTTCTTTAATTCATATGGAAGCCCAGCGATTTTTCATATTTCTGTTCTTCTGTGCATTGTCTCCCTATGAACTTTGTCTTTTTGTTTATTGTACTCATCATTTCACTGATGTGTATTGAAGTGGCTCCTTTAGATATTAACCCTTTGTCATATTTGACTCCTACATTTTTTCCCCAATAGTTGTTTCCTTTTTTATTTGGTTAATTTTTATTTTATATAAGTGGTCTAGCAGACTTTGCTGGTGGTCCAGTGATTGGGACTTTGTGCTTCCACTGCAGAGGGCACAGGTTTAATCTCTGATTAAAGAGAATTATCATTCTTAGAAAATTTATTATTTTCCAGAACAGATTGCTCTATCTTCCATCATATCCCTTTATGTGCTGTGCTGTGCTAAGTCGCTTCAGTCATGTCTGACTCTTTGTGACCCTTTGGACTGTAGCCCACCAGACTCCTCTGTCCATGGGATTTTTCAGACAAGAATACTGGAGTGGATTGCCATTTCCTCCTCCAGGGGATCTTCCTGACCCAGGGATTGAATCCACATCTCCTGTGTTGCAAGTGGATTCTTTACCCATTGAGCCATCAGGGAAGCCCTTGTCTCCCTTTATACTTTCCAGTACATTCTTTATTATTTTCATACATCTACCCCTTATTAAATGTATCCCTGATTAATAGACTTGCAATTAATTTTCTTTTTATAATTTATTTCTTGTTATGATTAAAGAGATGTTAATGTGTTAATGCTACTACACAAGAATATTATTGACTTTACACATTTCTTCTTTATCTGGCAACTTTTTGCAGATTTATTTACATTTCTAATCACCTGAAATTGAATATTTTGTTTTTATGGGCCCAATATGTATTATTCTTATGTTTTAATTGTATTGAAGAGAATAAAACAATATTAAACTAAGGCAGCACCTTAATTTAATTTTACTTTTAAAGAACTATCTCTAGGATTGTCCATTGATTTAACATTGTGGCTCAGCTGATAAAGAATCTGCCTGCAATGCAGGAGACCTGGGTTTGATCCCTGGGTTGGGAAGATCCCCTGGAGAAGGCAAAGGCTACCCACTCCAGTATTCTGGCCTGGAGAATTCCATGGACTGTATAGTCCATGGGGTTGCAAAGAGTCGAACATGACTGAGTGACTTTCACTTCACTTCACTTGATTGAAAAAAAAAAGTTTCATAATATGTTTAGTCCTTTTAAGAAAATATGTGCTTGGAATGTGTATTGAATTTTTTCAGATTATTTTTTAACTTCTGTGGAAATGACCATATGTGAATTTTCATTTAACTCACTGATGTCTTAGATTTTGCAATTGAACCATCCTTGAATTCCAGGAGAACATTTTACTTTCTAATGCAATCCCCTTTTAAAGGGCTTTGTTTCTGATTTCCCCATCTGTATTTATGACATTGGCTATTTGTTTGGAGTGCCTATCCTTATCAGTATTGTATTAAGTATTTCTAGTCAAGAACACACTTTGTAACATAGTATTATCTATTTCCTAAATATTTTAAAAATTCAGTCATATTCAGAGACTTTTTTATGAAATTGTAATTCTTTTTTGATGACTTCTCTGGTTTTCTCTTCTCTTATCAATATGTAAAGGTTATCTTTGTCTTGCTTCAACTTGAGAAATTTTTATTCTATATGGAATTTCTTTGAGAACTACAAATATAGTAGCATACTTTAAATATGTATTTCTTATGGCTTTTATTTCAGTAATTTCTTTTTCCTTTCTAATTTCTACTTTTAAGTGATTTTTCCATTTTTCTTAATTAGAATTATCAGAATTTTTTTTTTATATTATTAGACTTTTAAGGAATCAGCTCTTGTTTCTGTTCACTCTGTCTTTTGCTTTCCAATTTATGACTTTATCTTTAATTTCTTTCATTGTGTGTTTTCTTCTCTGAGATATTAATCTGAATAATTTATTTGCTTTATCTTTTTAATTTTAGCAATAAAACATTTAAAACTATTATTGATGTTTTCTTTAAGCACTGATCTTGGTATGCAGGATATTATCACTCTATTTTCTAAATTGTCTTTTATTGAGTTCTTGATTTTCCCATTGTCCCAGTTGTTCTTTAGGAGATTATTTTAAAATATCAAAGTAATTTACAATTTTGTTTTTTTATTCTTAGGGCTTCTAATTTTAAGTTTTAGTTGTATTTTGGTAAGAATGTAGCCTATAAAACCTCTGGTGAATTTTATTCATTTAATTTTATGTAAACCACCAGAGGTAAGATTGATAAGTGTTCTTTGAGTAATTCTTTAGAGAATTATATCTTATTTATATATGACAGAATTTTGCCTACTTATTAAAGTTTTGGTTGTAAGGAATTTGATTCTTTCCTATAACTGAATTTTTGTTTCTACATGAAATTCTTACACTTTTTGCTTTGTGTGTTTTGTTGCTATGTTAGTTGGTGCATATGAATTCACAATAATTATACCTTTAAATATGTACTATGTTTATCTTTGTATAACCACCCATTTATTTCACTTAATATATCTTATCTTAAATTATTTGAAATTATTATTCCAAACTTTACTGTACTTATTATCCTTGCTATATCTTTGCAGACACTTTTAATTTTAGGTTGTCTGCATTATTTTTTATATGTATGCTATTTGTGAGCAGGACAATGCCAAACTATTTTTTAGAATTCCTTCTGAGCATCTTTGCCTTTTAGTGAGGGTTCCACTTGATGTTTTTCTTTTTCTTTTAGTTTCATTCCTTTTCCTTCTAGAAAAGTTTTAAAACCTTTAATTGAATTTGATTCATCTGAGTGATCATTTTCATAGCTAATATTTTTCTTTCTTTTAAGCCACTTGATAAACATTTTGAAGGACCTGGTGGAAAGCAGATCCCTAGTGTTCCTTATATCATCATTTCAAAAGAGCACTGCATTGACTGATGAAATGTAGGCATCTCCAAGTTTCCAAACTACCCCCCACCACAAGCAGCTCTCTTCTTGTACTAAGATCATGCTTTCTTAAATTCTGTAATTGTTCAC